AGCTCACAATATATAACCTGTATACTTATTATGGACACAGCATGTCTTACACTAGTTATTAGTTGTTATTAGTCCCATCCTTCAGCTCCATTCAACACCTCCCATCTATCTCTTAACACCATCCATATTGGATTTCTATGTGACACTCTGGCTCCATGGACTTTGATATTTGAGCCAGGGTTGTTCATTTTCATTTGTTTGGGTGTATTTCATTTGGTGGTGTTGGGGATGGGTGAGTTTCATTTTGTTTGAGTCTAGTGTGATTGGTCTATGACTCCCAATCGGAGGTAACGAGTGTCAGCTGTCGGCTCGTTATCTCTGATTGGGAGCCATATATATTCTGTGTGTTTTCTCCTTTGTTTTGTGGGTTATTGTTTCCGTGTTGCTGTTAGTCTGTATCAGTATTTGAACTTCACGTATCGTCATTTGTTGTTTTCTTCGTGGTTGCTTTATTTAATAAAGTCATCATGTTCACTCGCAACGCTGCGCATTGGTCTCCTCCTTCAGACGATCGTGACAGAATAACCCACCATCAAAGGACCAAGCAGCGTGTCCAGGAGCCGAGGGTCTGGACATGGGAAGAGCTTTTGGACGGAAAAGGGTCCTGGACGTGGGAAGAAATCCTGGACGGCATGGATCGCCGTCCATGGAGCGAGACAGAGGAGAGGCGACGGAGAGAGGAGCAACGGCGTCGGCAGAGCCAACGTCGGAAGGACGAGAGGCAACCCCAATAAATTTTTTTGGGGGGGCACATGGCTTGGGCAGCTGGGCAGCAGGAGGCTGCCACAAGGAGAAAAGGAGAGAAGGCTAACGGGGTACGGGAGCCATTGGCGAGTGGAAGGAGGGAAGTTGTTGTGGCACGGCATGAGAGACTGAAGTGTGTTACCAGTCCGGTCCGGCCCGTTCCTGATCCCCAGTTAAGGCCATTGGTGTGTGTTCCCGGTATGGACCGGCCTGTTCCTACTCCACGCACCAGGTCCACGATGTGCGTCGCCAGCCGGCCAGAGTCTGCCGTCTGCCCAACGGCGCCTGAACTGGCCGTCTGCCCAACGGCGCCGGAACTGCCCGTCTGCCCAACGGCGCTGGAACTGCCCGTCTGCCCTAGGGCGTCTGAACTGCCCGTCTGCCAAGCGCTGCATAAGCCGCCCGTCTGTACTGAGCCTGCAAAGCCGCCCGTCTGCCATGAGCCTTCAGAGCCGTCCGCCAGATCGGAGCCGCTAGAGCCTTCCGCCAGACAGGAGCCGCTAGAGCCTTCCGCCAGACAGAATCATACACCTGCTATGGAATCAGCAGGAGCCGACGCAGCCCATACTAGACTGGAAGCTCAGGTTCGGGACCAGCAAGAGCAGCTCCTGCAGATGGGAGCCGCCCTGCTGGAGGTGATGACTGCAATCCGAGGCTGGGGTCCGCCTCCACCGCCAGCCGCCCAGCCAGCACCGTCAGCCAGCCATGAGCAGCCAGATCCGTCAGCCAGCCATGAGCAGCCAGATCCGTCAGCCAGCCATGAGCAGCCAGATCCGTCAGCCAGCCATGAGCAGCCAGATCCGTCAGCCAGCCATGAGCAGCCAGATCCGTCAGCCAGCCATGAGCAGCCAGATCCGTCAGCCAGCCATGAGCAGCCAGACCCGTCAGCCAGCCATGAGCAGCCAGACCCGTCAGCCAGCCATGAGCAGCCAGATCCGTCAGCCAGCCATGAGCAGCCAGATCCGTCAGCCAGCCATGAGCAGCCAGATCCGTCAGCCAGCCAGGATCCGCCAGAGCCGTCCAGCCAGGATCCGCCAGAGCCGTCCAGCCAGGATCCGCCAGGGCCGTCTAGCCAGGATCCGCCAGAGCCGTCCAGCCAGGATCCGCCAGAGCCGTCCAGCCAGGATCCGCCAGAGCCGTCCAGCCAGGATCCGCCAGAGCCGTCCAGCCTGGATCCGCCAGAGCCGTCCCGCCGGGATCCGCCAGAGCCGTCCAGCCTGGATCCGCCAGAGCCGTCCCGCCAGGATCCGCCAGAGCCGTCCCGCCAGGATCCGCCAGAGCCGTCCCGCCAGGATCCGCGAGAGCCAGCCAGCCAGGATCCGCCATCTTAGTCCGGTGCTGCCCCTTAGCCCGGTGCGGCCCCTTAGTCCGGTGCTGCCCCTTAGCCCGGTGCTGCCCCTTGTCCCGGTGCTGCCCCTTATCCCGGTGCTGCCCCTTAGGCCGATGCTGCCCCTTAGTCCGGTGTTGCCCCTTAGTCCAGGTGGGGTTAGTTGGAGGGTGGTCATTGGGAGGAGGCTACCGAAGCAGGTTGTGACTGTGGTGGGGTGGGGATCACGACCGGGGCCAGAGCCGCCACCATGGACAGACGCCCACCCAGACCCTCCCCTAGTCCTGATGTTGGTGCGCCCGGAGTTCGCACCTTTAGGGGGGGGTACTGTGACACTCTGGCTCCATGGACTTTGATATTTGAGCCAGGGTTGTTCATTTTCATTTGTTTGGGTGTATTTCATTTGGTGGTGTTGGGGATGGGTGAGTTTCATTTTGTTTGAGTCTAGTGTGATTGGTCTATGACTCCCAATCGGAGGTAACGAGTGTCAGCTGTCGGCTCGTTATCTCTGATTGGGAGCCATATATATTCTGTGTGTTTTCTCCTTTGTTTTGTGGGTTATTGTTTCCGTGTTGCTGTTAGTCTGTATCAGTATTTGAACTTCACGTATCGTCATTTGTTGTTTTCTTCGTGGTTGCTTTATTTAATAAAGTCATCATGTTCACTCGCAACGCTGCGCATTGGTCTCCTCCTTCAGACGATCGTGACATTCTATTTGCCATATTTTTCAACTGTGATGTTTTACAAAAGTTCTGAACCTTTCTATTCTCATTGCTTCTACAGTTTGTGAATTGAAAATAAACATTTTTGCTAAAAGTATTATTGATCGATTGACTATGACTTTTCAGATCACCCAGTAATGCTATCTGCAGGGTCAGCTCCATGCAAATATTGCAAACCTTCAGCCATTCTTGGACCTGTGTCCAGAAACAAGCTACAAATGGACAGAACCAAAACAAATGATCTAATGATTCTGTCTCTTCACAGCTAAATCTGCAGAGCTGGGAAGATTGTATCCCCCATATAAATAACATTCTATTGGTAGCAAGGATTTTATATAATTTAAATTGAAAAATTCTAATTTTTGAATCCGGCATCGTTTTGCGTATCAGTTCATAAACACTATGCCATGGAATCGGTACGTCAATCTCTTCCCAACTATTTAGCAATCTATATGGGATGGCTGTCAATCTTTTGGTCCTTAAATTAAACTGGTAAACTTTTTTATTTATCACAATTTTCTTTAACCAATTATGTTCTTTTAATGCAAGGCCGACAGACAAGTTCCTTACTTTTTCCTCCTTCCACTTTCCTCTTCCATTTTTGCGGTAATGCTGCAATTATTTGGTTGTAATTTTGGGTATGTTTTTGTTAGCTGCATGTGTGACAACTCCACCATTCCTACCGATGATATAATTTACGAAGATTATACCTTTTAAAAATATTTTCTCAAAAAATAACTTTTTTTATCAATTAATATATTGAGTTTAACCACAATATTTGTTGCAATATTTGTTCTGTCATTTCTGGAGGATTAAATTGAAATTGCAACCAACTTTCTATGGCTTGTTTTAGAAATAGTGAAATTTGGGAGATGATTTCCTTTTCAAATACCTGAAAGTGAGGGGTTGTAATCTGAATAAAGGGGAAAAGTCCCTTCTTGAACATTGGGTGAGACAATCTTACTAGTTTGCTAGAGAACCAGTTCGGATTTAAGTATAATTTTTGTATGACTGAAGCTTTTAGTGATAGATCTAATGCTTTAATATTTAATAATTTCTGTCCTCCAAATTCATATTCATTATATAAATAGGCCCGTTAAATTTTGTCTGGCTTGCCATTCCAAATAAAATTTAATATTTTTTTCTCATACAATTTCAAAAACTGTTCGCTAGGCGTAGGCAAGACCATAAGCAAATAGGTAAACTGGGATAATACTAAAGAGTTAATCAGGGTGATTTTTCCACAAATTGACAGGTATTTACCTTTCCATGGTAGCAAGATCTTATCTATTTTTGCTAACTTTCTATTCAAATGTATTGGAGTGAGATCATTAATTTCATTTGGGATATGTATTCCGAGTATATCCACATCACCATCAGACCATTTTATTGGTAAACTACAAGGTAATGTAAAAATTGTATTGTTTAGTGATTCAATAGGTTATAATCTTGCTATGAATTCATAACGTTGTTATAGCTGCTAGCACTGGACTCCTCCATAACGTTTTACTACAGGCTTAGACACCGACATACAAGCAGTGTCAAATGTGTGTGGGTGTGTGCTGCTTCTGAGAGGAAGTAGCCCGAGCAGTGTTGCCGTTTCTAAAAGGACATAGTTGGGTGTTTTTGGAGCCTTTGTTCATGTTTTATCTGTGCCCCTGCAACTGCAGAATGAGCATGAGGAAGTCTATCACTGGTGGGGTACGTTTCTCATAACCAAGTGAAATAAAATGTAAAAGTGTCTGGACACTTCTATAACATGTCATTTATATCCAAGCACCGATTTGGTTAAAAAAAAAAAAAAGATATTTTCCTTTTAAAATTTATTTTATTGCATCCTTTTCATGAACTGTGAAATGAATATGGAACAGTGAAGTGACCACAGCATGTGGTGGTGGTGTAGGGGAACAGAGCAGTGTCTGATGAGAATGCTGATGAGATCAGACCGTTGAAGATCACTAATGTGTGTGTGTATGAGAATGAGGTATTGAGAGACCAGTAGAATTATTCTAGTATGTCCTACCAATATTAATGTGTTCATGTTCTTTATTTTATATCAGTAGTCAGTATTTCTATTCTCTTCCTTATATCTTGTCATCTTTGTTATTTTAGAGACCCTCCATGTTGGATGTTCCAGCTCTGCTGCTGACAACTCTGGAGGAGCTCACTGAAGAACAGCTGAAGACATTTCAGTTTTACCTGACTAGTGTCCAGCTGCCTGACTGAGAGCCAGTTGGAGAACGCTGACATACAGGTCGCAGTGGATCATATGGTGGAGAACTACGGCCCTGAGAAAGCTATTGGGATCACACTGATGATCCTGAGAAGGATGAACCGACATGATGTAGCAGAGAAGTTAGAGAGAGATTACAGACACAGAAGAGGTAACACCGTAAAACTGTGTTAAGAAAATGTGTCATAAACGTTCCTTCAAACAAAGACAACATGATTTAAATAGATAATTGTAGATGAACAGGACAATGTAATACGTAAAATACACCGTTATCTCTCTTCACTTCTATAGCAGTATCTACCACAGCAACAAGATGGTGGAACGACTCCAGACACTGGTAATGATGAAGAGAGAGAGACGAAACATGTCAGACTGACTGGAAGTTCTAGAGTCTGGGACAGAGAGGCATCGGGCAGCAAAGTCACTGGAATCACAAAGGACGAAGATTTACTGGTCGCGGTGAGGAGGATGGGGGATGATTGGGTTCACACTATCCACATACTGCTCTGGTGATCTATACAGTAGCCTGCACAATCATTGCCATCCCCCAAAGTCCTTTGAAAAGTCAGAATATTGTATAAACTCTCAAAAAACATTCCTTACCTCAGGATACTTCAACTGGTGACTACCATTCCTTACCTCAGGATACTTCAACTGGTGACTACCATTCCTTACCTCAGGATACTTCAACTGGTGACTATCATTCCTTACCTCAGGGTACTTCAACTGGTGACTACCATTCCTTACCTCAGGATATTTCAACTGGTGACTACCATTCCTTACCTCAGGATACTTCAACTGGTGACTACCATTTCTTACCTCAGGATACTTCAACTGGTGACTATCCAGGAGAATAAATAAAAAGGAGCACTCTGTTGCCGGGTAGATCTGATAGATGTATTATTTGACAAACAAACAGGATGCTTGTTTTGAAAAGTTTTTTTGGATATCAAGTCCCTCAGTGGAGCACCTGATTTCCTTTTTAGTTTAAGCTGAGCTGAAGCGCGTTTGGGTATACTATTTTTCATTGTATAAACTCTCATTTCAACTCTGCTAGTTGTCCTGACAAAATATCCACAGGAAAAGTATTGTTGTACAGACTTTCCCAAAATGTGGATCTGCAGTTGTGTTTCTTCATCATTTCACCTAACGTCACAATAAAAGTCGTGCATATGTGTGTACAAGTAAGTGATACAGAAGAGGCTTGTGTGGGATACTTTAGGCAAGAGGTAAAGCAATGAAGAAAGATACCTGCAGACTCATTGTGTGTCTGTCTGTCTGTCTGTGTGAGTGTGTGGTCTTCTGTAGTCTACAGAGGTGTCCAGAGTGAAAGGTCAAGCTCCCTCCTGATGCCTTCATCGTCCTCATCATTACAGCCTGTTGAGGAATCCATGGATCATCTCACCATCAGGACACCTCTCCATGTCTCACCATCAGGACACCTCTCCATGTCTCACCATCAGGACACCTCTCCATGTCTCACCATCAGGACACCTCTCCATGTCTCACCATCAGGACACCTCTCCATGTCTCACCATCAGGAGACCTTGTCTCACCACCACGGGAGTCACCTCTCCATGTCTCACCTCGCCATGTCTCACCTCTCCATGTCTCACCTCTCCATGTCTCACCTCTCCACGTCTCTCCTCTCCATGTCTCACCTCTCCATGTCTCACTCCATGTCTCACATTCACGTGAGTGACCTCTCCATTTCTCACTCCTCCATCCCTGGTCAAATTCAATATATATATATATATATATATATATATATATATATATATATATATATATATATATATATATATATACTTACCAATAGATGGATGGATGGATACTGTTGGTAGAATATCTGTTGTTTTGACATTTCAGGAGCTTTGCAATGAATTTGCTCCTGACATCATCACAGCAAGGAAACATACCGGTAACTTGATGTTCTTTTCCTTGTTCTTATTCTTCATTTGTAGATACAGTAGGAACATACTATTCTTAATTGTTTGTTCTACAGGTTCCAGTGCCCCCGTGCAGGTCTGTTCCAGTGCAGTATAACAGGCCTGGTGTTTAGGATGGAGGGAGAGGGAGAGGTGCTCTATAGGACAGTCCCCTGGGACAGGAGGCTTCTAGCCCAGAGTGGCAAGAGGCCTGCAGGACCCCTGTTCAACATCGACTGCCCTCAGAAGTCTGTCTGCCAACTACACCTCCCACACTGTCAGATTCATTCTGGTAAGTATTCATTTCAAGTAACTTTCAGGAATAAAAGAGGAATTTCACTTTCAAGACTGCTCTAAAGAAGATTACTCTGCTAATATGCTACATTGTCTTGGTTGTCATTTATATTGTAGTATATCTGAGAAATATCTAAATGTTCTCTTTCTTTCCCAGGTGGTGGATGTGACTTCCTGTCTGTAGCCCATGTGACTGATGACATCATTGAGTTTCTTCCTCCTCATGAGATAACAGAAACACACATTATAATAAACATCACTGGATTCTCTGCTTATGGTGATGTTGTCGTATCGGGTGAATGGTGGCAATTATTGCTGATAAACAAAGGAGTCCGCTCATACTGAACTTTGATCATAAGGTTAATTCAGATCACAAGCTTCAGCATAAGTGACAGGTGACATGCCCACCCGGAGAGCGACGCCTCAGAATGGCCGCTCTGCCTCTCTTTGTCTAGCCCCTTACTTATAAACAATGCAAAAAGATGGGTGGCTCCCTCTTCTGGCCAATCACCAGTCTCCCCTGTCTACAACACACTTCCTGTCTGTTGTATGTGGCATTACACTAAAACATTCCCTCTTGATACTAAAATTAACGTCCTCTCTGGTTCCACTTAAAACATTAACAACGTCATAATCTCAATACACGACATTTCCCCCCTTCGAGACGAACTAAAAGTCTCGAAAACAAACAGAATAGGATTATGACAAGTGACAATTTATCTTATTGAGTATCTTTAACATTAAACCAAAAACATTATTCTCTATACCTTTCTATGAAATATGAATAACTGTTTATGCAGTGTGAATACATTACTATGAAATATGAACAAATCTTTATGGAGTGTAAGAGCGAAAAACTGTCCGGCAACCTTCGTTCCAAATCCATCCATCAATCAAGACAGTAAAATTCTCTCACGGTCCCTCTGCCCCAGGCAACCACCACGGTACTCCAGATAAACTCATAAACAATGTAAATGCATTTGAAACTATGATGCAATTAAATACACATGTAAGCCCCTTCAAACAAAATCCTATCCAAAAAATATCCACTCTAAGGCTGGTCAACCCATTGGACCCTATAGTGGACCTCTCCCTGCCTAGACTCCCTATCCCTAAGCATCACCGAAATAAACAAAAACATCTAAGATCCCCACATGTATTCAATAACATCAAACATCATTCTACAAAAATTAATACCTAAGAATATGACACAATTATGTATTACACATCAAATATGTCTATATTTCATTGCAGACACTGGAATGTAGTCCACTACACTTCATCTCCCCGTAGTCTCGACTTCCAATGTATTGTTGATGATGGAATCGGAATCTTTCCACACCCTCCTTGTTTCATCTCCTCCAGTCATTGTCCCTTCATATTGTCCTTGTTTGAGTATTTCAATCTCCACATGTCCCCCAAATGCTTCTGAAAGAAAAGGAAAGACCAAACAGTATCTTTTACAAAACAACACTTTCAAATTAAACATCAATATCAACTAAGAATATAGAAATGATATATAAATGATGTATGAATCACATTAAATGATAGAATAATGAACTAGGATAATTATTCATTCATACACTTCCCCCCTTTGATTCATAAAATCATACCAAATCACCCTAATATTGAAAAAAAAATTGGAAAATGATCAAATAATCAAAAAGGATATTTATCATCCAGTCCCTCTTGTCCATCCTCATCCAGATCAGGAACAGTCAACAACGGCATCTGAGTGTTGTCTCCAGGCATCACTCTCCAACCTATCTCAATATCATAGCTTTCTCAAAGGTCAGTAACAAATTACAAACCTCACACACAGTGCTATTAAAGCTGCAACTGAAATCTGAACCATCACTGCCCCTACTGGGCCTAATTGATCTTGCAACCAAGACTTCGCTGACAATCCAGCTCCCTCAGATCTCCCAAATGCATCCCTTATATTCTTCAATGCATATATAACTATCTGAACTATCTGGACTCAAAGTATAACTATTATCATCAATATGATCTTCCCAAATGTTACACCATACCATGGAAAAAGTCCCCCCTTCTCCCTTAGATTTATCCTTCAATGATAGGCTTGAAGACTATGACATGCCGCCATGTCTCTTTTCATCCAATTTCAAACCTAGATTTAAATGTATCTGTGTCCGGTGCTACCCCTCTTTTAATGGTAAAACCTCATATGGAAGCTTCAACGTCGACATGTAACAACATCCTATCCATCAATAGGGTAAAAATATATATGCTTTATCACCACAAACCCTCTAAATATCTTTAACATTCCCAATAGTCACATTGACAGGCAAAAGCTGATCTTTCACCATCAAAGTCCTGCTCTTCTTACTACCTGGTACATAAAAAGTTACATTATATTTGTCCTCTCTAACCTTATGTCCGTGCTTATTCAAAGTCATCATATAATCATCACAATCTGATATTCCCATAAACATACCCCTTACATCATATGTTTTATTAGAACAAAAACAACTTTTAGCCCTCAAATGGTTTCATCTCCAATGCTCCAGGGTTCGCTGTTACCTGATTTTTCTTTACCATCCAACAAATTCACATAAGTTAATTCACTTAAACCCATTAACACCTAAACCTAGGCTTAAACAAATGTTTTGACAACGACATTATTTTATCGGTTACTGATTGTTGCTGATACAACAGTCATGACAAAGCATAAGATTGACACATACTTGATAGAGGTCGAACGACCATCTCTAACATGTTTGACTGGAATTCTCAACAGACATGGACCCTCAAGATTCCTCACTGATGTTACAGAATGAGCTACTGGAACCTGCCCATCTATCTCTAATTTTCACAACAGAAGAATCAAACCACTCCATTTAGTTTCTCTCTTCCCTAACGAGCGGTACTGCAGATACTTCTCCTTGTCTGTCATTAAAATCAAAGACCTCATCCTGTACCTCCATGATAGTATCACTATTTCAGATGAATCTATATTGTTCTCTACTACTATCTGCTCTCCTATTTTAACCCTATTCGTACTATCATTGACAGCACTCTCCATCCGTAACATAAACCCCTGAGTCCTTCTTGCTACCCCCTTTAATTTCAGAAAAGTTGTTGTCGGTGTCATACTTCCTACATTTGCTATTGCCATCGTATCATTAATCCCTTCCAAAGTTACTATTAAAGCAGTTGATCTAGTTGATGTATTAACACTCTTAACTACTTCTAGTGCAAAAGTTCCCGATATCCTCTGTGTATTATCTACTGTTGGAGTGACTACTGTAATAATATACTTCCTGAACTCCTTCGGTGACTGTGGAAACTTCAACAGACTTCAAATCTTCCATCATAAGCGTTACTTTATGAATTACATAGTCTTTTAACCAATAATTCTTAACCGGAACAAATGTTAATGCTTGCACTAGATAAGTACACATATATTCTCCCTGATCTTTCTCTGTAACATTACGCCAAATAAGTGAACAGTCACTCATAACCCTCTTCCACTTCATATTGTTGTACAAACTATATCTCCTTTGATTAGGTGCAACAGCTTGCTTCTACTTCTGGTCCTGATAACAATACTTCTTCTCCATAATTATCTCTCCATGTGGGAGGAACGTCCCCATCCTAACCCTAATAAGTATTTTTCCTCTAAAATTGGTGCTGAAGCCATTGGCTCCCTTATAATCAAATGTGATATATTTATGGCTTTAATAACTATCAATGTTGAAAGAGTTAAATTGCTTCTCACTGTTGTTTTAATAGACTGAAGTGTTAATGTCATTGTTGTTACTTCATCCATTTTCCCCAAAGCTTTGAACTCTTTGCTTGTACTTCCATCTATCACCACTAGTGTCACTTTTTCCCAACTCTCAGTCCTAACTTTCAAACTTTTGATTATAAAAATACCCCTACAATTACCTTGATCTTCCTACTCTAAGATGTCCTTCACCACTGTTCTCTCTCTCTTACTACTAACTTTGAAACTTAGCTTACTGTCTTAGAGTTCCTTCAACCTAGTTCTCCTAACTTTTTAATCTAATCTTTTCTCCTAACCTTTAAAAACCTTTTCCACTGATTTATTCACAAAATCCCTTTACCACCAATTTTTTGAATATGTGATTGGGAAAGTCCCCACCTGCTTCTGACTTCTTTACACACAGACTTGGCAAACGACTAAACACCTTTTAGCCTAGCCTGAAATCTCTTGGTGTAAGAATGTAACCCAGAATAACAGTCACCCCTTTTAACTTTATTTTTCAGACAGATTGTCTAATAGGCAGTCTAATAGATTATCATCCTTCCTATGATATTATCTTTTTAAGCAAATATGATTCCCAAAAACCCTACTTTTTAAAATCTTCTACCAGACAGCCATTTAGTGTACATCTTATTGTACAATTCAATTTACACCATGCATCTCTTCCCAACACTGCAATAGGTATATGCTCTAATATTAGTATGTCTATTTTAATTTCTCTTTGATTTTCTATAGCATAGCTCAATTGGTTCCCTAAGAGTAATTAACTGTTTTACTACCTCAAATCCCTATCCTAATTTGTTAATTTTGCATAGTGAGATGTTTAACCTCTTTAGGCTGAACACAGATAAGTTTTTCCACTATTCACTATCACTTCTCATAGTCCTCTGGTTTTACTTCAATTGTTGGATATTTTCTCTTCTTCTCTAATCGGTGCTATCAGCTGACACCCCCCTTCGTATCTTCTAGGCACTCTAGAATCCTTAGGGTTCACCTGGAGAACAGGTGATCTTGACTGGCCCCTGTATCTTCCTTAAAAATGTTCTCTGTTGTTTCCTCCTGACTTGTTGCACTCACAGGTAAAGTGACCAATCTGTCCATAATTACAACAGTCTTCTGAAAGTTGCTGGAAGTGTAGCTGAAATCTTCCTCCTCCTTCTAAGCCTTCTCGTCCTCTTCCTCTCCAATTCTGTGTCTGTCCAGAAACTGTCTGTGGATATGGAACACCTGGTACCCCCCTTGGCTGGTACAATTGCATTTTATATTGTTCAGTTGAAGCTGTAACAGTGATTGTTGATTTGGTTCACTCTGATTCTTCATAACCAAAGCTTCTCTTCTCCACCAGTTGTATGATTGAGTTTGAGAGTTTCTTCGTCCTGTTCTTTCTTGCTGTTGACATATCAGGATTCTTCAAAAGCTTATATTCTAAGTTCTGTCCTCAAAATATCATCTTCCATCATCTTCTTACTTTTCTTCAGCATCTTGGCCTCAATGTATTCTTCTTCTCCTCCAATTCTTGGGATTATTTTCTCAGCAGGTTTTCTCCTTCTGTCTTCAGCGTCTCGAGCTGTTCCTCTAGCTCTCTTACCTCTCCCAAAGTCCTCGCTTCCTCCAGGCCTGATAAGCATCGGTCTATATCTCCTTCTATTTCTTCTGTGCCAGTCCTTGTAGGACAAACTCCTTTTGAATACATAGCACCTTCAGTCTCCTCTTTCTCGCTGTCTTCATCTGAACTCGAATCTCTTGTATCCTTCTTCCTTCAACTTCCATCAGAGATCAAATCTCTAGTATCCTTCTTTCCTCTCTTGCCAACTTCCTTCTGATCACAGAGTCATATCCACCCATGATCTCTTCTCAATCACTCTGATCTTCATCATCTTCTTCCTTAAGTTCCATCTTCCTAACCTCACTCTTCTCTTTCAGACATCTCATTTTCTTCCTTCTGGAGTTCTGGATTCATCTTCATTGTCGTTTCTGCTTGTCCTCTATCTATTATTCATCTTCATCTCTGATGCAACAATCACCCTCCTGGATGATCCCTGGAAGCTGAGGATAAACATCCCTAAGCTCTACTTCCTTCTCGTAAGGTGGGTGTCTTTTTGCTGAATCCGTATGTGAGAAAGGTATACTAACTTCTGCCATTAGTTTTCCTGTCGCCTTCTCTATACCGTTGTTTATCTTATCGCTGGAATCTTTTATCAGTTTTTGTTTGAGAATGAAGGGCAACTTTTGTTTCATTTGCCGGATAACCTAGCAATACTTTAGTTAAAGGGTTACTATTTTGTACTATATCAATCGGTGTAATGACTTTCATAGCCTTGATGTCGTTTTTCCCCATTGTAACAACCCTTTTATATTCCTTTATCGTGAATTATTTTATTTTAGACTATATAGCCTATGGCTTCCCCCCTTCAATTATTAATATAACCCAAACAACCCAAAAAATAAACATTTTTATTTTTATTTTTATTTTTTATAAATCAATTAAAAATCATGAATAATTAAAACCAATTTTTATTCCTATATCCTATGTCACCAATTTATCAATTAGCGGTGGCTATCTTACCACAACCCATCAAATGCAAGTAAATGTAAGTTAGTCAACTTCAAAGCAATCCCAAAAACAAAGCCTCTAACCCTTCAACACTACAATTCCCATAAACCCTTATCTTAATTTTACAGAATAATGTCAGTCCTTGATTCCCAACACATCTGTAATTAACCCAAGTGATGCACATAGCCTCCAAAATGCAATTTTTTAATGAAATAGTATTTGCCAAGCCTATGTGAAATTGTCATAACATCAAATATTTTTGTGAACTAGCCTGATATCTGATCCTCGCACGTCAGCACCCCCTCTCCTTCTCTCTCTCCCTCCTGTCGTCTCGTCCTATTGCCTCTCATATGACAAAAACAGAGACACAGAAAAATATTTTAGTAGTTACTGCAATCACTGAGTTATCTCAACCATATTCAACATTCCTTCGTTCACCCATTATTCACTCTAAGACTAAACTCAGAACTAAATAGATCGCTCAAAAACATTTTTATTTTATTTTAATCCGTCATTTAATTTAATTCATTATACTCCGCCAACATATATTTAATGTATAAATTCACTACATCTCAACAAATAGTTTCATGTTCAAACACCAGCCGCTTTAAACTATAAGATTCGCGTTAAAATCTCTCCTCTTTGTCTGTGGCTATTTCTCCCCCTGCAGTGTAACCCCACAGAATATGACACGTTACCCACAATCCCGTTTTGTAGTTTTAGTAAACAAGATTTTGTCGTTTTTTAGTACCGGAACCAAACGTCTCATAATCTCGTGCCATAAACTACAACTCCCACGTTTTGTAGTGTAGTGTCATAAAATTAAACGCATGCGCAAATGCATTCAATGATACGATTCCCAAACAATAGAACGATAGCATTACGCTACAGCTTCACTATTTTATACCCTATACTCACACAATTACACATAACAGAGCTCACATTTGCGTAGAACTTTGAATTCTACACACACATACATATTTTAAGAGGCTTATCCTATCGCAATAGGACCTCTAAGGACACGTTAGCATGTAGCACGCAACACAATTAGCCATTAGCATTTAGCATTAGCCGCTATGTACCCTGTAGCATGAAACACAATCCAGCATTTAGCATTAACATTAGCCTTAGCCTTTAGCTAACTGCGGCCTACCACGCCCTAAGTAACCTTGCATTGTGCCTAAATCATTGTCCATTTATCACCTGCTAACTTTATGCTGCCGTAAGTTCTGGATAATCATGTGAGCGGTTACCCCAAACGAATAATCCGTCGACTATAAGATGAGCATAACATACATATAATCGTCCACCTTATGGTTCCCAGAACCAACCTGACCCCACCTAACGCGTTGCAAGGATTTTATGGCCCACTCCTAAAGAGTCGCCTCGTTTCGAGGTCTTTAACAGATTCACAATGCCATAATTGCATACGTATCCCTGACTTTATTCTGCCAATATCTGCCGTTAATATCTCTACCATCGATTGCTCTAAAATTCCAAGCCTACTCTCCCCCCTTTTGCCCTGTCTACCAGTGCAACAATTGATAATGATTAGCCAGACCCCCAGTTATCAGCAATAACGCCACACGAGGCACGGTCGTATGGTACATTTCTCCAGTGTACACAAGCAGTATCAAAACTAACAACTTAGCTGTGAGGAACACTCACCCTTGTCTGGTCATGACTCCAGACCGAAGTTAGCTTGGCGGCTACGAATGAGCAAAGGAGAGATGCAGACCAGCCCCACGTTGGGCGCCATTTGTCGTATCGGGTGAATGGTGGCAATTATTGCTGATAAACAAAGGAGTCCGCTCATACTGAACTTTGATCATAAGGTTAATTCAGATCACAAGCTTCAGCATAAGTGACAGGTGACATGCCCACCCGGAGAGCGACGCCTCAGAATGGCCGCTCTGCCTCTCTTTGTCTAGCCCCTTACTTATAAACAATGCAAAAAGATGGGTGGCTCCCTCTTCTGGCCAATCACCAGTCTCCCCTGTCTACAACACACTTCCTGTCTGTTGTATGTGGCGTTACACTAAAACATTCCCTCTTGATACTAAAATTAACGTCCTCTCTGGTTCCACTTAAAACATTAACAACGTCATAATCTCAATACACGACAATGTCACGGATGATGATGCTCCCATCTCCCCTATCCAGGGGCTTGTGTTGTTATTCCACCAACCGTTTGTCCCTGAAGAGAGGTCCATCCTGAATGTGTTGTTGCTTCCCAGTAATGTTGTGAGAAAAGAGGTGAGCTGGAGCCCTACAACCCCAGAAACCTTCTTCTATCTGGCTGGAATTCAATCAAACACACAATGGGAAATGTAATACTGGCATAACGGCTAAAACATTTAATCAAACCATTATGGAGAGAAGCAAGTGTGACTGAATTCCATCTGTTGACCTTTTTGATCTTATTGCATTATTCTCAAGCTTTAAGTCGTTTTTTACTCACATTCTCTGCAATTATTTTTTAAAAGAGGGTATTTTGAAGCACAATTAAACTGTCTATTGTTGGTCCTTTCAAGGTGCGGTGATTGAAAGGGATGGAATGTGAGACCTTTTAACAACTTCTCAGTGTAAACTTCCCCCGAAGCAAGAATACGCCTTCTCCACTAATTCCACAGATGCACATCGAATACAATATTTGAGTAATACATTTTTTATTACAATGTAATTTTTTATTTCATTGACACTTCCTATGAAAGCAACTACTACCCCACATTTCAGTTGTTTTTTCTGAAAGAAAAGGAAGGTGATGAACTTGTATGGAACAGACTTGTCTGGTTGCCAGGTAACAGACATTCAGAGCTCAAATCCAATCAAATGATGTCAGACCCGTAGTACTATTACATGTTTTTAGTTCTCTTACAGCGTTATTGTTATTGAACTATGGTGTCATTATATCATATGATTATGGTTGGTTATAATGAATATACCTTTATCAGATAGGAAAACACCTTCTCTTTTCATCCACAGCCTCACCAACAGATGTCACCTCTACAGGTACTGTTGACCTTCCACTGACATTCACCATCAATATAAACCTCTCAATAACAAACTAGAGATTCATCACCATTATAAACCTCTCAATAACAAACTAGAGATTCATCACCATTATAAACCTCTCAATAACAAACTAGAGATTCATCACCATTATAAACCTCTCAATAACAAACTAGAGATTCATCACCATTATAAACCTCTCAATAAGTAAAAAATAATATATATTTAAAGAGCAGCAGTAAAATAAAATAACAGTAGCGAGGCTATATAACGTGGGGTGCCGGTACAGAGTCAATGTGCAGGGGTACAGGTTTGTCAATTTGTTTCATAAGAGTTGTAAATTCTCTAAAAATTAAAAATGTAGTTATTCTCTCTAACATGTTATATAAATAGTTCCCCATTACTTTATATGTAATAAAAAAATTATAATATATATAATTATAATAATAAAAGGGATTAGTTTTCTTGGGGTTTATTGAGCCAGAAAGTCAACACATCCGCCACCAAAGCTTCCTTGTCTTTGTTGTCGTCCACCAGTGAATGTTTGATTTCTTTGAGTTTCTCATGGATGAAGATCGACAACTTAAGTTCATGTAGAAAAGCCTCTGTTACACCATAAACCCTAGGAATAGATGGCACAAGACCCACAGACTCCAGGGCTCTGACCATCGATGTTACAAAATGATCGGACCACAGTCTTTTCACCAGTTCATCAAAGTGGTTGAAGAAGAAGTACTTGGGTGGGTCATGTAAACAAGGATGTCGTCGCTGGCTGGGATGATTGATCTTACAACCGTGGCATTTTTCTCTTGTATACTCTCCAATCACCACATCTAAAAGTGTGGCTACAGAGGCATTGATGGTATCCACAAAAATAGTACTGACCATCCCATCAAACACATCCTCATGCTGTGTATATGTGTAGGGGTCAGATGTCATGAATGGGGTGAGTAGAAAGGAGGGCTGTGATGCAGATCCTCGTCCGTAGGGGTTGGTACCCACTCTGTCAGATGTAATATGAATATCCATGGTATATGATGAAATGAAGAACCATAGGGGTAACTATGTTAACCCCTTTTATTGTTGAACCCTTCCTTTGGGCTCGGGGCGGGGTTAACGTACCACCAGCATACTCCGTTTTTTTTCAGGGGTTGACCCTTCTGGGGCCTCGTTTCACCCAATATCCTTAGTATCCATAGGTATAATACACTTCCTTAGTTTAACAATACTCTGCCTGCGTTGGCTCTGTACAAAGAGAGCATCCACTAACTCAAACAATTTCAATTCCATTATATCCCAGCCTATAAAAGGAATAAGCATACGTAACCTAAAATCCCCTGTCAGCCCCCCATCACGGAGGTTCCCGTTAACGGATTTTTCTCGTTGCTGATATAGAGCTCCACGCCTCCACAAGGAAGTCCATTCTTTCTTTGTATTTTCACCCCTATGAAATATTCTTCCTGAGGAGTCAGGGGCACCTTCCCACCGGGCCTCGTACCCCGTGTACAGGCTATAACCCTTTGAGGTAACTCTCAGTTCAGGACACACCACCTTGCGAAACACATGCCAGTCTTCACTCCTGTAGTCCACTCCTAAGGTTTGGTCTGTTTATTCTTCTCCTTGGGCTAAGGTATATGGTTTCACTCTATAGATAGGGTAATCAAACATATACCCCCATAGTTGTCCATTAGACATCAACACTTGATCTTTCAGTACAGTTACGGGAGGTATTTTGGTTCTATAGAAATGTAGAAAAGTCTTTTTGGGAGCATCATATATTGATGATGTCTACTCATCCCTTTATGACATAGCCTGGGTCCTACTTCCGATGTTAATGTCATCACGGGCGTGTCAGTACTTAACAAATCCATGTTTTCTTAATTTTTTCTTTAGAGTTTTCTGTGGTTTGTCTCTCTTGAGGTTTCTTGTCGCTCGTAGTGTTCACAGGACAAGTCTAACACTTACTTATACTCAGGCAGACCTACCCTGGAAATTACTTTTTCATTCTACAAGGGGTCACAAGCTCACTACCCAGCATTGTAATTTTTTATTCCGTAAAGTTAGTGTGGAAGAGGTGAAAAAATGATTGTTGTCTATCAACAATGACAAGCCACAGGGGTCTGACAACTTGGATGGAAAATTACTGAGGATAATAGCGGACGATATTGCCACTCCTATTTGCCATATTTTCAATTTAAGCCTACTAGAATGTGTGTGCCCCCAGGGTTGGAGGGAAGCAAAAGTCATTCCGCTACCTAAGAATAGTAAAGCCTCCTTTACTGGCTCAAATAGCCGACCAATCAGCCTGTTACCAACCCTTAGTAAACTATTGGAAAAAATTGTGTTTGACCAGATACAATGCTATTTTACAGTAAACTAATTGACATCATACTTTCAGCATGCTCATAGAGAAGGACATTCAACAAGCACAGCACTTACACAAATGACTGATGATTGGCTAAGAGAAATTGATGATAAAAAGATTGTGGGGGCTGTTTTGTTAGACTTCGGTGCAACTTTTGACATAATCGATCATAGTCTGCTGCTGGAAAAACGTATGTGTTATGGCTTTACTCCACCTGCTATATTGTGGATAAAGAGTTACCTGTCTAACAGAACACAGAGGGTGTTCTTTAATGGAAGCCTCTTTGACATAATCCAGGTAGAATCAGGAATTCCCCAGGGCAGCTGTCTAGGCCCATTACTTTTTCAATCTTTACTAATGACATGTCACTGGCTTTGAGTAAAGCCAGAGTGTCTATGTATGAGGATGACTCAACACTATACATGTCAGCTACTACAGCGACTGAAATGACTGCAACACTTAACAAAGAGTTGCAGTTAGTTTCAGAGTGGGTGGCAAGGAATATGTTAGTCCTAAATATTTCTAAAACTAAAAGCATTGTATTTGGGACAAATCATTCACTAAACCCTAAACCTCAACTAAATATTGTAATAAATAATGTGGAAATTGAGCAAGTTGAGGTAACTAACCTGCTTGGAGTAACCCTGGATTGTAAACTGTCATGGTCAAAACATATTGATACAACAGTAGCTAAGATGGGGAGAAGTATGTCCATAATAAAGCGTTATTCTGCCTTCTTAACAGCACTAACAAGGCAGGTCCTCTTCAGGCCCTAGTCTTGTCACACCTGGACTACTGTTCAGTCGTGTGGTCAGGTGCCACAAAAAAGGACTTAGGAAAATTGCAATTGGCTCAGAACAGGGCAGCACGGCTGGCCCTTGGATGTACACAGAGAGCTAATATTAATAAAATGCATGTACATTTCTCCTGGCTCAAAGTGGAGGAGAGATTGACTTCATCACTGCTTGTGTTTATGAGAGGTGTTGACATGTAGAATGCACCGAGCTGTCTGTTTGAGCTGCTGGCGCACAGCTCGGTCACCCATGCATACCCCACAAGACACGCCACCAGAGGTCTCTTCACAGTCCCCAAGTCCAGAACAGACTATGGGAGGTGCACAGTACTACATAGAGCCATGACCACATGGAACTCTATTCCACATCAAGTAACTGATGCAAGTAGTAAAATTATATTTAAAAAAAAAGATTAAACACCTTATGGAACAGCGGGGACAGTGAAGCAACACAACATAGGCGCAGACACATGCATACACGCACACGATAACATACTCACTATACACACGTACACATGGATTTTGTACTGTAGATCTGTGGTAGTGGTGGAGTAGGGGCCTGAGGGCACACAGTGTGTTGTGAAATCTGTGAATGTATTGTAATGTTTTTAAAATTGTATGAACTGTCTTAATTTTGCTGGACCCCAGGAAGAGTAGCTGCAGCCTTGACAGGAACTAATGGGGATCCATAATAAATACAAATACGCAGGAAATCCGTAATCCTCTGGAAAACAAGGGAATTTATTGAAAGTTCCAGGAATGTTGCAACCCTACTCCTACATCCCGTACCAGACAGACAGACAGGCAGACTATTAACATACAGTATATTTTCATGTTTTCTTCATATCTTAAATAAATCCCACAAAGGCAATAAAGAGTCCGAATATTATTTCATTACAAATACAACCTGTGATTCAACTGGAAACATAAAGAACAAGACAATATCAGAGATGTTGTTTCAACTTTATCGCTGGATAAGAATGGCTTCTCTCGCCCACCTGTTTTGGTTTGGTGTCAGTTTGTCCACTAGAGGGCGACGCACTACTAGAGACCAATAGGGAGGATGTGCCACAGGATGAGATGGGCTACTGAAAACGAAAGGAAATTAGCGCTCTACTATCAGGCTTCATTACTTTCCTGTCGGCTGTCTGCACCTGTAGTGTCTGAAAATGGACCGGTTCAGGGTAAGAAAATAGTTTTTAAAAAAACGGATTATGCTGTTATTTAATGGAATCTGGAAATATGAAAAGTAACTGAAAAGTTTGTTGTTAATAAACAGTAAAGTAGGCTACATTGTATTAATTTCATATTTGATTTATAGCAACACGGAAGTGCGAGATTGACTCGATCAAAGTAATGGGAATAACGGGGAAAATAAATTTACATAGAAATCAACAACGTTTTATGTT